CTCAGAGGTGACAGGGCTTTCTCTGTTGCAGGTCCACGACTGTGGAATGAGTTGCCACTGAGTGTCCGGCAGGCTCCCACACTCTCAGTCTTTAAGTCTCGCTTGAAGACCCACTTCTATTCGCTTGCCTTTAACACGGTGTGATTTGTTTTGGCCCGGTCTGTTCTTTACTCTGTTGGCCATTTTAGTTAGCTCCTGCTGCTATTTGTATCTGTATTTCTATTTTATGTTTTCCTGTCTGCTGTGCATGTTTGTGTTCTTTTGTACAGCACTTTGGTTGGCCTTGTTGCTGTTTTAAGTGCTCTATAAATAAATTGGTATGGTATGGTATGGTAGATATTATCAGCAGCAGCTGTAGCATATCCACTGCAACTTGAGAATCTTCCTGCAGGAATTTCAGCATTCAAAGATAAACTGAAGGAGATGATTAAAAGTGGCATTCAGGCAAATGTGATTTTTCAAAACTGGAATAATTTGAAGGTCCTTCTGTTTTGAAAATGAGTCTTTTCATTGTAGTCCTTTATAGCTTATCCATACAGCTCAAATGAATTCTCTTCCAAAGTGAATGTTGCTGCTCTACACCAACGACAACCTTTTTTTTTTCCAAGTTGTTATTTATACATTTACTTCACCATTAAGTTAGCACTGAAGGATTTTTCTGCAAAGATGTAAAACTCTGGGCAGCACGGTGGCTCAGTTGTTAAAGTTGTTGCCTCTCTGTGACACGGTCACAAGTTCAAATTCTGGCCCTGGACCTTTCTGTGTGAAGTTTGCATGTTTTTTCTGTGCATGCATTGGTTTTCTCGAGGTACTCCAGTTTCCTCCCACATACCAAAAACATGCATGTTAGACTGATTGGTACTTCTAAATTGTCCCTTTGAGTGAGAGAGTTTTTCTCCTGTCCAGGGTGTCCCCCACCTCTTGCACAGTGACTGCTGGACAGTGGCACCAGTGACCCCCGTGACCAGAAAGGAAGAAGCGGGTAAAGATGATGGATGGATGTAAAACTCCTGTTGAATATGAGTAATCATGTAATACATCATTGACAGAAACTTAAAGGTTGAATAAAAAAAGCTACATTTTTGCAAACCCCTATAATTTTTTTGGATATTGGAGATTTTTAAAGATGGTTTTAGCTCACCCACTTCAAGAACTATTGCTTTGTTTGATTTTTATTTCCAGTTGTAGGCTTTGACCCTGTAAAGTGTCATTTTAACAGAATGGGCTGTGGTGAAGCTGCTCTCTGACATTTCAGCTGCATCATATTCTGCTCAGTTGTTTCCTGCTGCAGACGCTCTGTCAGCTAAAATAAAAAAAATAAAAACAGTCCAGTTCAGGGTCTCCCCTCGGCTCAGCCTCCATCCTCCTGGTGCTGAGTGACTGCTGATCTCAATCGTCTCTCAGATAGCAGCTCTCCTTTCAGCGCTTCACAGGCTCAGAGAGTGGGAGGGACTAAAGGAGAAGCTCCTCTCCGCCACAGCATCGTGCAGGAAAAGGAGGAGGAGGGACGGGGGTCTGGATCCAGTCAAAGCTCCTCTCTGATAAGGCTTTGCTTATCTCTGCACCTCGTGTGCTCTCATCCGCCCTGGTGTTGCGGAAGAAGACGAGGAGTCGAGCGGGATGCTGAAGTAGCGCGGTGAGTTTCTGTTTGCGCCGCCTGAGGAGGCATTTTGTCAGGGATTAGAAAGAAAGAAATCCAAGCGGATTGTGCATGCCTGGGCCACCCTTATGCTGAGCAGTTTAAGCTCAATCCTCTGCTGGATTTAAAGTGTGCAGGAGCATTCCGATGGCTTTCTGCTTCTCCTTGCAGCTGCAGATGGGAAAGGATTTCGGGTTATATTCATGATTCGACAAGTTGAGTCTAAATATACAGACCATTGGAGAGCATATAGCTCAGCCTTCGTTTAAAGGTGAAGTGTGTCTTGATTGGATAAGGATGTATTTAGCTAATCACCGACAGATAAGCGCCTTTAAAGTATCCCTTTACTTTAAGTGCGCTTTAATTCCGCATGACCTCAAACATGCGCATTTAGCGCAACTTCTTAAGTTTTTGCCTTTTTTCTCTCACATAAAGCACTCTCCCACGGGTGTAATCTGATTAGGGTGCTGTATTTAACTCCAGGCCGGTGTGTGTTTTCTGTTTAGGGATGGTGTGGAGGGAAAACACGGCGGGGGGAAGGCTCAGAGTGAACCCTCGGGTGGCGAATGGCGTCTGCAGCGCAGCTTCCTGAGGACGTGGGGGGCAAAGAGCCCGACGTTGGTGTCCTGGATCGGGTTTCCTCCGCGCCGCGTGCCCGTAAATCGGGTGGATCAACAGGAGAGGCGCCCCCTGGGGAGGGGGCTGGCGGGGAGGGGTGTGGCCGCAGCAGCCACTCCCGGTGCGTTTCAGCACCGAGGACAGCGCCGCGCAGAGCGCCCGAGCAGAAGATTCGAATTTGTTGCGATGAGGAGTTGGAGACGTCTTTCACTTTTATTGATGAGAACGTGAACCTCAGGTTGGCCAGCCCGGACAGCAGCTGCAAAAGTACCCTGAGGCCCGCGCGCAACGGGGAGCCTTGCTCCGAGACTTTCCAGGAGCTGTCCTTCATTTCCGAGGAGGACCTGTCCTTCACCGAGAGCTCCGGCGCGTCCGTGGACTACGGCTTCATCAGCGCAGTCACGTTCCTGGTGACCGGGATCTCCCTGGTGATCATCTCCTACGCCGTGCCTCGGGACGTGGTGGTGGACCGTGACACGGTGTCTGCGCGCGAGATGGAGAGGCTGGAGATGGAGAGCGCGCGGATCGGTGCCCACTTGGACCGCTGCGTCATAGCGGGGCTTTGCCTGCTGACGCTGGGCGGCGTGGTGCTCTCCACGCTGCTGATGATCTCCATGTGGAAGGGGGAGATGTACAGGAGGAAGCTCGTGGCTTACTCCAAACGTTCTGCCAAACTTTACGGCTCAATCAGCCTGAAAACCAGATCCAGTCCGAGCCACTCCTCTGCGCACCTGTCCCTGGAGGAGGAACCGGGGGACACTGTGACTTGAGCTGCCGCGCTGCTTCTAAAAAAAATGTTTAAATAAGAACTAATGCCATTCACACTTATGTGTTTTGTCTGTTAGCAAAATATCTCCAGAAACACTGCACGGATTTTAAAGACACTTTCAGACAGTATTGGATACATTGGATACAATAAGTGATACATTTCAGAGTCAGGGATATTTGAGAGGGCTGCCACAACTAATTGACTTAAACACAAAAATGCTCTAACACAGTCATTGTTACAGATATTGAGCTGAACTTTGGCAGTAGCTGAGAGTCATTCCCAATACCTATTTGAGGGTTAACAGACCATACACAATATTTGTATAAAGTGGTTGGACTGAATCCGCCCTGTGAGCAAAATATCTCCAGAACAGTGGACAGAAAGTAAATGAAACTCTCAGAAGGTGATGATTGGATCTACACTGTGCTTGTGATCAACTCTTGGAGTCAGTCCAGTTTAAAATAGTTACCACAACTATTTGGCTTTAACCAACACACTAATGGCTCTAACTCAGTCCAAGTTACAGACATTGAGCTAAAGGGTGTTGTGGTAGTAGCTGAGAGTTATTTACAACACATACTCTGAGTGCTTGAAACCTGTTGTTTTAACAGTTTGACCAAAACAAAAAACTTATTTCAGTTTATGGTGATTTTAGGAGGTGGGCATCAAGGAATGTTAATTTAAACAGGTCACACAAAAAAAAAAATCTGCATTTTATGTTTCTGTTAGAACAAACAGACAAAGCAACGTAATAAATCATTTTTTTAAATCATGCTGTTAAGTTGCTCACCGATCTGTGAAACACCACTAACATGAACAGAGACCAGCTGTGACCAACAGCGGATCACATGTTTTGCAGCCTCTGAGAGTTTCTATTTATTAAAAGGGTTATTCATTTTTAATGCGACTGTTTCCAGCAGCAAAGCTGCACACAGACACACTTCAGGAAAAAGAGAGTGTGTCTGTCCCCAGGGCATGTGAGTGGGAGTAAGCAGGGCTGTAAAGCTGTCCCTGTCTGCTGTGCAGTAGGAGAATCAGCTCGGTGGTCCACATGGTAATATCCAGTGACAGCTCGTCTCTGCTGCAGTGCTGAGGTCTGATGCATGGGAGCCAAAGCTGCACACTGGTCAGACTGTTGCAAGCTTTTTACAGTATGTCCTTATTATTGTCCAGCTTCAGTTCTGTTCTCCATCCTGCAGCAAACTGCTTTTAATTTAAAACACCAGTTTTGATAAAGCTGGAGTGTTTAGTAAAATGCTAATAAAAGATGTGATTCTCCTAGACCCACATTTTGTTCACAGTGGAACATAGCAAACAAATAAAGTGTCTGAACTAAGAGTTAGAAAAAGTATCAGAGAACAAATACAGTAATTTAGTATGTTATGGCAGCAGCACATTACAAAAAAGCAGGGCCGGGGCAGCAGATGGTTGTAAAAGTGAACGGTATGAAAACAAACAGCTGGAGGAGCGTTTAGTGACAAATGAAGTTAACTGTCAACAGGTCAATAAAAGAACTGGATACAAAAAAAAATTTAGAGAGGCTGAATCTCTCAGAAGTTAAGATGGGCAGAGGTTAAACATCTGTAACAAAGCTGTCAAAAAATAGTGGCACAATTTAAAAATAATGTTCCTAAACAAAAACATGGAACGACTTTAAATATCCCATCATCTACATAATATGAACAAAGATTTGAAGAATCTGTTGAAATCTTTGAGCTCTGTGGAAAGGCTGAACTCAGGGGACGGCTGTGATCGTCGGGCCCTCAGGGGCCACCACTTAAAGTTTCTGTTTCTGTTCTGGACATCACTGCACGGGCTCAGAAACACTTCCACAAATTATTGACTGTAAACATAATTTATTGTTCTATCCACAAATGCTGGTTAGAGTTGCATTATACAAAGAAGAAGCCACGTGTGAACACCATCCAGAAACGCTGCTGTCCTCTCTGGACTAAACCTCTTTTCAAATGGACCGAGGCAAAGTGGGAAACTGTTCTGCTGCAAAGGCTTTTCTGAAACCGCTCATCTTCTGTGCTAAAGAGGAGGGAGACTGCTCAGCCTATCAGCACATGGTTCAAAACCCTGCCTCTCTGATGGTATGGGGGTGCACCAGTGCTTTGACATAACTTCCACATTTGGAAAGGCACTGTCAGTGTAGAAAAGTAAATGCAGGTTTGATTATAACTTGTGGGAGACTTTTTTTCAGAGGAGGCTTTACATTTTTCAGCAAGCTAATGCTAAACAACACTCAGCGTCCACCAGTATGTCTTCATGATGGAAGAGTCAAACTGACCTGCATGCTCACCAGACCTCGCACCAAGTGAGAACATTGAATGCATCATGAAACAAAAAACAGAGCAAAGAAAACCCAGAATCCTTTATCAGATGATAATGGGACAACATTCCCTCTAAAAACTCCAGCAGCAGATCCTAAATGATTTTTATATTTACATACTGATATTAAAGAAGAGGGTACGCATCGTGGAGGGTGGGGGAACGTGGCCCTTTTCAACCCTTTTTGAGATGTGTTGACCTCCTCACCTCACCTTCAAACAACCGGTGCCTTTTTAAAGGCTACAATTTCTTAATATAAAGATAAATACTTAGTTCCATGGACGTCAAGATAGAGATGCCGCGATCAAAGATTATTTAAAAAAATATGGGTTTAAGACATTTGTAAATCGTTGCATTCAGTTTTTATTAACATTTTACCCAATTTGCAACCGTTTTAAGAGTTGGTGTTGAACAAGCGCTTCAAAACTTCATTAGAATCAGAAACGTGTGCAGCGTCTGCAGCACTTCAAGCTTCATCAGATATTCTTCATCAGCCCGCTCTTCTTTTCTTTTCTTTATTTTTTCATCCACTGCTAGAAGATGGCTTTAAGCATAACTTATCGTACATGAAAGAGTTGTCCTACTTCCAAAACCTTAAGCTGCCATGACATCAAAGAGCCAATTACCCGTCTAATGTGGGATGTTTTATTTTTTAAGCATATGCTGGGGTTAACGTCAAAGTGATTTACTGGTAAAATGTTAGCAGAGTAACATTAAACGTTCGGCAAAATACATGTCAGGTGGAAACTAATGCCTGAAAAATGAGAAAGGTTGGTTTCTATCAAAGCTGAGTTCACGTTAAGACAGTTCTCCTTCTGCCTGGTGAGTTTATTGCAACCTTAAAACACTTTCCTCATATTCTTACAAAAGAACAGGCCTTTTATGTGCAGGCTCCTAAATCATGCAGCAACCCTCAGTATTCAGTCTACTTTGCATGCTTTCGTTTGCACAGGCAAATGTCACATTCTGCAGAACGTGCTAATGATTCTCATGCAGTGTGAGTGTTACCTTGGTTTCTCATCTTTTGCTGTGTGACCTTGTTCCAAGGCTTATGTTGAAAACGACATGAGTCAGCCTCCGGTATCGAGACGTGCAGGCTGATTTCTTTGTGGCAAACAGCTCGGGGTCACATTGTTACTATGCCTTCAGTGATTTGTTTTGCTCCTGTATATATATATATATATATATATATATATATATATATATATAGGTACATTTTCTAAACTGATCATTACACAAACAGATAATAGAAGCAGGTGTCTCATGATGAGAAGATTCAGAGGAAATCTGTGTTTGAGCCTGTGGCAGTAAAAAATAATCTGTGTGTTGTTTTTTTCATGTGCTCTTCTCTTGCTGTGGCCACAGAGCTGACACACGTGTGCCTCCCTGACAACAAACATGTCAGAAGGTCATTAAAATGACAAATCAAGAGGTTTCCAGAAAAACAATAAAAATGAATGTCCCAGATGAAGTTGTGTAGTCATGTTCTCTTTAAGAAGTTGTAATTCTACACCACGTTAAACAGATTCATTCAGCCAGACTTCCTGCTGTTGTTGACTGTGAACGTGGGAATCATGTTCTAATTTGTTTGGGATGTATTTTTCACTTCTTTCTTTTCCATTCACTTTCAACATTTAATAAAGCTGGGGACTTTTAAAATGGGGTTAAAACAATCAGATACTTGTTGTAGATACTCTTTTTACAGCCTTAGCTCAGAAAAATATGGTTTAATTTATCTTATGAGCTACTCTGAGTGGGACTGGAACAGTACAGAAAACAGCTCTAATCTCTAAAATTTCCTTGTGGTTCAGACACACTTCTATTAAAGCTTTACATTGTTGTAAATGTAACATTACATGATTATTTACATGAATTTAAGCATATTTGATGCAGCCTAAGACACTTCTGTTAAGAGTATTCCTTTTTTTTTTTTCCCACAATAACAGTAAAATCTAAAACTGATGGTAATGAAAGGCTAATGAAAATGAACCACTTATGTTTATGTTCAACCTCCCTGGTCAACAACTGCCTGCACTAAACTTGCTAAACTGGTGGACGAGCAACGCAGAGGTGTCTCCACCTCCTCCACCTGTGCGTGTTTTCTGCTGACGCAGGAGGAGACTCAGAGCAGAAACAGTGAAGGCAGCAGACTGCTGTGTCTAGAGTTGGAGGTAACCAGGAAAACCTGGAGTGGAGTTGTAGTGGCTTGAGTATTCTCCTATTAATCAAGTGAGGGTCCAAATGAACGCTTTTTGAGTGTGGGGGGGACATGTCCCCTTCACATTTAATGGTTGTGATGCCTATGAAATACATACACATAGAGTAGTCCCTCGTTTCATTTATTTTTATTTATTTATTTTTTTTCATTTACCTTTATTTATACAGGTAGTCTCATTGAGCCATGATAACTCATTTTCAAGAGAGACCTGTTTAGGGAGCAGATGGGGGTTAAGGGCCTTGCTCATGGGCCCAAAGTGGGGCGAATGAGGGTGGGGGAAAGTGTGGGTGCTTCACCTACCCCACCCACATTTTGAATGTTTGTCATGGGAGATCAAACCCTGAAACCCTGTGATAAGTGAAAAGCTGCAAAGTAGAAATAGTACAAGTAGTAAGTAGTAGTTATTTTAGTATACATATACATATATGTATGTATACATACATATAAAGGCATTTTAAACCATTCCCACTCTTGCAATATTCTAAACAATGTCTCTAAACTCTAAATGCTGTAAAAGAGCACAGTATGACATCATTCCAGCTCCCTGCCTTGCCTGCTTTTTGCTACCTGCAAGTGTTCTTGGCCACGCCCACTTCTCAGCTATGCAGCAGAACAGCTGATCAGCTGC